CAGCCACAAACCTACAGGGCTGCTGTAGCGACTTCTCTGGAGAGCTGATGGTAAGCGTGACCATTATAACCTAACTGTTACCGGTTGTACGTGAAAACCATCACAGCAATGCTGCCCAAGTGATCCTGGGATTTCTTTTCAAAGAGACAAGCTCATGCTTGAATTAATAAATGTTGGAAAACACCACTTTAGGACAAGAGGAAAAAGATTTGGCGTGTGCAGTTTTAATCCTGACATTAACAAGCTCACAGGTTAAGAGCAAACTTTACTCATACAAAGGTCTTAAAATTATCCAAACTGACACAAGCTCCTTATTGCTAACATACATCAAGCTCAGAACAACAGGTTTATTTAAAAATACACTTTATTTACAAGACATTCAAACTTCATTTTGAAAAAAAATGAACTGTACATAAAACATAAAAAAAGTAATTTTTCACTAATAGTTAATAAAACCACAGTGAGATTTTCTAGTCATTGATTCAGCAATCATGGAAATTACATTTTGGCACATTATTTAAATCACATAATGAGCAGAAAAACTGGAGGAAACTTTTAAGCAGCGCAACTCCATAAATGTAACAACTTCATACAGTGACATCCTCATATCAAGGTATCACTGTTCAAATAAAGTACTTAACATAGAAAGTGCTTCCACTGTACAGCAGAGTAAGTAGTAGAACCTATAGAAATCTTCAGAGTGTTTGGATCATCTTTTCAGAAATGTCCCTTTTATCTGCATTCCAATTAGTGATCCAAGCTTTCCCCTAAAGTGTTAATGAATGACTAAGGAACCCTAGTGATTTCATTATACCTTCTCAGCCTTAGAAACCAACTTTTGAAAGAAAGTTGGCTCAGGTGGAGTGTTTATAAAGAATTTAAATATATATAAATATATATATTTATTTCTCAGGATGATTACTTAGACAACACTTTGACACAGATCACAGGACATAAAATAGTACTTGGAGTAGCCACCCATAGACCTTGGGCGGTGAACTTCACTTCAGGGAAAATTTGGATGCCTTCCCTTCAAAGTTCAGAATAAAAGGGAGCATTCAGGACAGTAAGTGTTATAATCAGGCAGAGGTGGAAAAGAACAGGAAGGAGGTGGAAAAGAACAGGAAGAACTAAACAAGAAGATCAAAATGTGGTTTGCAATGGTAAAGTGTATCACACTGCAAAAGCAGAAGTGAGTGAATTTGAATTAAATAGAGTGCAAAAATTAAACCAGTGCATAAAAGAGGTATTTCTAAACTGTGTTATAGGTGCAACACCATGACGAGAAGGCTAGCAAAGCCATACTGCTTTTATTAAAGAGACAAAGAACAAGAAAAACATTAAGAAGAAAAAACCACAGTTGCACTACCGGTCAAAATAAGTATCGCAAAGAACACAAGGAGAAGGAAGTCAACAGAAAATTTGGCAAAACAAAAGGCAATACTCCTAAAAAACAGCATCAGTTATTTTTCTTTACATAGAAAAGCAAAGGCAAGATCTGCATTAGAATGTCACAGAAGAAGGAAAAATTAACTATCAAATTGACATGTTTGGTTAAAGGATAACGTGTCAAAACGTAACAAAAAAAATTGAATTCACTTTAAGAAAAGGCCCCCAACTGATGAAGGCCAGTAAATTGCTTTTGCATTCAATGCCATGTTAATTTATTCCAGATTTCACTCTTGCTCCAAAACTATCTGTCAAGGCTAACAAATGTTTTGTTATCATACAACTAGGTCACATGTATGACAGGTTATGGATGAGAGGGCTACAGAAGTCGGAAATCAGTTTGAAAAATCACCTGTGTTTTAAGCGGATTTCCTTTGCTACAGACAGCGATGGACAGACAGGGGCAACCACTGCATGAGAAACTGAATGCCATAACGGTGCAATCAGAGGGAACAATTGAAGAGGACGGGGTAGCACAATCTATCTGCAATCGTCAGAAATTCTACATTACTGAATTGGAGGAGGAAAAAAGCAACTAAGCTAAAGAGGCCACTAAAGAGGCCAGAAAAGAGATTTTTCAACAGTGCAATACACTACAAAACTGAATTTAGAACAAGTGCCCACAGATAAGGGCAAATCCTGAAATATACTGTATTTCCAAATGAGGTAAGCTTACTGCAAGAGAATTAGAAAAAGATACGCCAAGAACTGAAGGGAAATAAGCCAATACAAAATACACACTGACTGGAATGAAGTCGTCTACAGAAGTAGAGGGACCACCCAGTAGAGCCTAGTTGTAACACACTTAAAACAGAGAAGAAAAATACTTTCTTCCAGGATGCAAAGGAAAACAAAGATACCAGGTCAGAAACCTTAGTTGGACACCCTGAAAGTCCCTACACAGAAAAAACAAGCTTCATCTCATAAATAATACAGCTCTGTAGGTTTTTCTTGCTTAAGTAATAAAGCAAATTTTAAATGTGCTTGTTTTCTAGACCTGAAGATTTCTATAATCCCTGGTATTTTCTTATTTATTCACAGGCAACAATTACAGTACATTCAACCAAACAAGAAAAATGTTTAAGAATGTTACTTCATTGTATTTTCAGGTTGTAACACTTTTTAAAACTTTAAAAATAGATAATCACAGTTTTAACAAACATTGGACGGATAAAGAAAAAGATGGTCCATTTTGTCAAATGCCTCAACATTACACATATTAGTTTTCTCTAATTCCAGAGTAAACAATACTGCCATTCCATCTTTCAAGCATTTAATAAAACATATATATAAAAAGATTACCTGATTTAAGACACAAATGCATAATTATGAAAGGGTGCTTGTTTTAGAGGATATTGGGAAGCAAGTTCTCCCATAGACTTTGTTGTTATTTTGGGAGCTTTCTGTTCCAGTTCTCAAAAAACCTATAAATATATTTGTTATTTACATCTAAACCCTGACATTTAAACATCATCATAGATGAAAATAAGGGCAAAAAGAACAGAAGAAAGGGCTGTCTTACTTTATGCCACACGCTTTTAAAAGACAGAGCCATTCTTAAAATGTTTCCTGATTTACATTAATTCGTGCAATAACTGCTAAGCAAGATCCCGCTGCTTTCACCTCTGCTGCTGCCAACAGAATCAAACAGACTGGAGGATCAAGCTCTTAATTATATTAACACATAGTTTAATTTATATAATACAAACCTACAATGGAAGGCTATAAAATATATTAATTCACCCAAGAAGTAATGTTCAAAAGGGGTAACTACAAATCTAGAAATGTGCTATTTGGACTGCAATCACTGCTTCAGTAAATAGCATTTTCCAAGCAGCAAAATAGCCTGCTGTGTGTTTTAATATTCATTGACTTAATGTAATCATCCTTATTAATAAGAAGTTGGCTGCTTTCTAGCCAGCCTTACAAGGAGGTCCTGGTATTTTCCCAGCCCAGGCGAGAAATCAATTTTCCCTTTCTGTTAAGGTGTCACTGAGGTAGACACCACTATTTTATAGAGGTGTCCCCATAAATAAATAAATGAATAAAATAGCCTGCGCCTAGGCCACACAGACCATTGAAAGGCTGCAAAATGTATCTGAAAGCTTCTGGATCTGGTCTGTATAGCCGGTGAGGATAAGCACTACACTCCGTGTGGATTAGACAGTGGGTTTCCTCTCCCAAAAACCTGGAGAACAGACCTGACCCAAATCCAGCACTGGTGACAGGGCACATCATCATGTTTTCCTTAGAGCAGCCTTGCATGCTTTCAAACAGAACATGCAGCAAGGAGGTAAAGGAACTGCTTCACTATGCACACTTTGAAATACACTGCTGGGCATGGGGAGGAGGGGCAGGGCAGAGGAGAGGGCTTAGACCTTTAAAATAAATCAGCAAGAAATAATCAAGCCTAAACAAGGAAGATTGCCCTGTAATTTTTTTAAAGCTTTCTCTAAGTGATAACACTGCATATAAAACTTTAAAGGGACTTTCCTAATTAATACAACTTAAATTTTGTCTTAATAATAGAACTGCAGAATTTTAACTGTTCATAATAAACACATTAGATTATTTATTATTATGATTTAGTAATGACAGACACTTGGTGTTAAAGATACTGCAATCATCCTGCACAATGATGAAATAAGACTGTGGCCATTATAATTTCTGTTGTCAGGAGAAAAAAAAAAAAAAAAAAAAAAAAAAAAAAAAAAAAAAAAAAAAAAAAAAAAAAAAAAAAAAAGACTGAGTTGTACAATCACAACAGTGAACACGATAAAAGTTAACTGGATAACTGCCTGCATTTCCATTTGCTAGAATCAGTACAGACAACGTTAGTATTTCTTTGCTTTCATGACAAGAAGTCTATTCTTTAGCATACTTATCTGTGATTAGGCTAAGACTCCAGTATTACCAGTAGAGAAGCAAGACCAGCTTCTGCTCTGTCCCTAAACACAGGAGTCAATCAAGAAAACAATGCGAGTCAAAATTCCTGAGTGCTTTGCCTCCCCCTTAGACACTCTTCATTTCGTTCACAAACCCCACTGGCCAGAAGCACAAGCGTTACTGTTAAACATGAACTGTCTATGCAAAAATGAGTTTTAAGGATCAGTAAAGCATCTCTACTGAAGTCCTTTATAAATATACAGTACTTCAGCCCAGTACAATCATGAACTGGCCACAGGGCTTTCAGGAAACAGCTCACTTCAGCAGAAAAGGCCAGAGTTTCATTCCCAGTGCCACTGGCCATTAACTGCAAGCATCAGTGCAGACAGCAATACATCCCATCCACTCTAACGACAGAAATTCACACCTAGTTTGGTAAGGAACCGGGTTAGGCTGTTTCAGAAAAATCTTACATGAATGCAACACCCTTCGTGGAAACATTAATCCTTATTTCAGATACGAGGGGGTTTAGGTGTGTTTTGGTTTACAGCTAAAGCACAAAAATCTTTTCGCCACACCAACTTCAGCTACAACCACTGATGGCCCCCTTCCCAGCCAGGATATGTTTGTTCTATGAAAACATTACACAGAGTAGAGGGAATTGCCTAAAGTCGTGTACTGCTCAACTGTGACTTATCATCAGACACACCACAATTTTTCATGTGTTCAGTGCTATACTCTGCCAGTGGGTACTCAATAGGGATTTCAGTATCGTTTTTACTTGAACCATTGTCTTTAGGCAGTGCAGAAAGGCAACTATTGTTTTTGTCAGTATAGCCATTAGTTTTAGCCATGGGGGGCTTCCGCTGACTGCAGCACAGCTGAGAGTCACAAGTTTTTGAGATGCAGGGTGAGCTGCACAGTAGCTGGGAGGTCTTGTGGTCCATGTACTCGGGCTGGATGGTCACAGAATGGATCCCCGCTTCGTGGAAAACCTTCCGGATTTTATAAGCAGCATCTTGGTAATCAGTAGGGGTTTGGCACTTGATATGAAGAGTAGCAATATTCTTTCCACCTGCAAGCTCCCACACATGCACCTCATGAAGGCTGCTAACCCCTGGAACATGAGCTAGTCTGTCGGCTGGAAGACATAAGAGAAAGATATTAGAAGCTTTGGTGTATTGGCTAATTACTAGCTTTCCCATTAAGAGACCTATACGAAAGCAGCAGTCTCCAAATGACCTTTTTAGAAGAGCTGTACTTAGTAAAAAAATATGTCTACTCCCAGCTGCCTTCGGTTCAGCCTCCAGATGACCACACGAGCAGGCCACTCGTCCTTTTGGGTTCACCCCATCCCTCAGGCTCCCTAATGGCAATTTACCATCTGTTCATAGAAGCAACATTAGAGCACCACCTCCTTGGCCAAGACCCCACATCTTCTGGTTTCTTTAGCCCTGAGCATGGTGGAATTCCAGAAATAACCAGTGCTACCCCACAATTAACCAGTGTGAACAACACCAGAGAGCTACAAAATTAACCAACCTTAATGGAAATTTCTAAGCTGTTTCGGAAGCCTTTTGGAAGAAGCTGCTGCAGGGTTGGGAAATATTGTCATTCAGTGTTGTTTCTTTCACAAACACCCCACACAAGGCATTAACAGCTCAAGACCTGGTATTTTTGATGTATTGTTGGAGTACCACATTCTCAAAATGCATGCTTTAACTAATCCACAGAGATTTGAGTCATGTTGCTAGGACACAGGCATGTGACTATTTCTCACAGTTCTTGAGAATTTAGAGCTATTATGAGTAAATAATCCAAACATGTCATTCCAGAAATAACACATGCGTTGAAATATATCATTAAAATTAATAGCATTTCAACAACAAATTTGACTTACTCAGTAGTTGCATATTAACACCTTTGGGAACCATCTGCAACAAAATAATTGAGGTCTCCTTGATAAGCGGGAATGCAGAAGACAAGATGATGAACACCATAATTATTGTCAGGCTTGGATCGATGTAGCACTGCCAATTACATGGAGCATTCCCCAGAGGAAGTACATGGAAGATTGTAGCAGCAACTACCACGACCACAGATCCAAGTGCATCTCCCATAACATGCAAAAGAACACCTGAAACAAATGGCACAATTTCCATTAGTGGTTTGTTTTTTTTTTTTTCCTGGGGGCGGGGGGAGAGTAAATCTGCATTTTTCAAGTCTGTTCTACTTGACATGAAAAACGCAATATTCCAAGCGCTAACATCGTAACCGAAGTCTTCAGTAACAGCTTTCAGAACAAAACAGCAAGGGAAATACTGACTCTGAACCACAGCTGCTTAAGTGGGATGCATTATTAAACATGTAGGGTATGCTAGCAACTGCGGTCCAACTGCAATGCCATGGCAATGTAAAACGTGTTTGCTTAAATGTCTGCAGATTATTAAGAGATCCTGGCACATTAAATCTCAATTAAAAATTGATGACTGAATCTATGCGTTCTACCCTGGAAGCTGAGAGCGCCACAGACCACACCCAGTAACAGTTATTCTCCTCCATCAGCTTCTATGACACTGTTTAAATCTGAAAAATTACCTAAGTGAAACCTAAGCCCATTCCTATGGCTCCAAATGCCCTCAAACTCCATTTTTTGGATCAAGCTCCATTTCCAGTCATGTTAAACCTTGTCCCACCAACACTCCTAGCCCTCAGACCCCCAAAAAAGTCAGAATCTGGTTTGAAAGTTATTCAGATGGACACTGCAGTTTAATATGTGCCTGGACTACTCTAAATCAAGAGGAACGCTGGGTACCACTTTTTACATCTATAGACATGTTTTTGCACAAAAGACAAAGACACAAAACAGGCTCTTGTAATAACATATTTGTAGCTGCCCTTTCAACTACAATGGCCAAAGTAGTCGCCTTGCTATAAAGTTACAATAGTCTAAGAACTCCTTTTTTCTTCCCTTTTTTTTCTTTTACTATTTTACATAATCTTCCTTCTTCCCACCATTGCTCAAATGTACTCCAGTTCTGTCAGTCTTTACTGTCTAGACTCAGATTTCATTCCAACCCAGGCCTAATTCATAACATCTCTAAATATATGAATTTCTTTGTCAATACTTTTTATTCGGAGCCTGTGAGAGAATAAACCGGACCATCTCCTTTTAACATCCCTATGAAAAGCACTTTCAAGAGCCTCACTCCAATTTAATCCCTTTCTCTGGGCTGGAGAAGCTGGAGAAGGCTCCCCCTGAAACTCATTAACAACACAGCAAAGAGTTTTGACCCTGGTGATGCTGGACACTGGATTAGACCTTGAGTCGTGCCTGCGCTGCTGTTTCTTGACAGCTCTTTGCATGAACATTTATCTTTGGTGTGCAAAATGAAGGCAATAACCACTGGAGCTCCTCTGAATCACTCAGGGCAGATAAGAAAGTACAAACTTCCAGTGAGTGCAGCTTTTTCTGCTGGAGTCAGGCATGTTCTGCCCCATTTGGCAGACTCCCACAGGGCTTTACTCCTCCTAACAGCGTTGCAGTGTTTCCTTTTCATTTACAACTAATCCCGATTCAGCATGGGCTATCAGCTATTGCACGAACAAGAGGGACAGGCAGGATGCAATTGCCAAGGCAACTAACTAGAGAGCAGAGCTTAAAAAGAACAGGAAAATGTTTCAGAAAGTCTTCTTTTGAACTGAGAAAAAAAGTAAGCATGCCAGAATTATGATAAACTACGAATTGAGAATATGGAATTTGGAAAATGATTATTTTACATTATTAACATCGTTAATATGTACCTCTTGGTTACGCATCACATAATGAGGGCCTAGACAGAAATGAGCCCATTTCCCTATAGACGCCCAAAAGCTGTGGTTATAAAACAGAAAATGAATTTTTAGTAAAGTCAGTATGGTAAGACCATAGGTAACACACAGTTTCCAACAGCTTGTGGAGGAAAGTCTGAACTACTCTGCATATGCTCAAGAAGCAAAAGGAATAATTTTACACTACAATAATTAATGCAGTCAGGCAGAATGTCTGGATTCCTGTTCCTACCACTTTTAAAAATCAAGGAACCAATTCCTCTGCCAACCCATTTTGTTCAGCCATGGTTTTCAGGGATGTTCTGATTCTATAATGTACAGAATTTTTTGCCAAGTGATTATGAAGTATAGCTATGTAACTAACTTATAGCAGCAAAGGAAAAACATAGATTTTGAATCAGAATTTTAAAGATACGTATCTGTAACACTGGCTAAAGGAGCACGGAATATTTGTAAGGACAATAAAATAGATTTTGCAAAGATGACATACTAAAGTTAAAGTAGCACTTAAGAGAAAAAGTCTCTTTTTAAAAATCAAAGAAGACAGGTATCTTAAAATAACCGATACAAAACTCCTCATCCTTCAGACATTTTTGAAAGTGTCCAGCATCATTATGCCTAAGCACTGTCGTTCAGGCAAGTAAGGCCTTCTCTAAAACATACTTTTTGGTTTCTTGTCCTTCTCTCCTCCATCCCTGAAAGTGACAGTTTGCTTTTCCTGCTCCAGGAACTTACCACTATAATGCCAGAATATCCAGCGACACCAATTTCTAGACATTCAGGAAAGCGTTATGGCTCTAGCACATCTTTTGATTTCCAAAGTGTCTTCCCTTACAGACACAGTTGTGTAACTCTGAAAACACTTTTGAAAGATGGGTAGATAGACACACACCAAAAAAAAAAAAAAAATCCCGGGGGCCCGACTCCCATACGGCCCCTTTAACGGAAATTTCCCGTGATCCAACTTTACACAAAAAAAAAAAAAAAAATCCCAGGTGCCCGACTGCCATGACGACCCCTTTAAGCTGAATTCACGTGATGCCAACTTACACAACTTTGGAGGAATATCAGATGCTGATAGGTGACCATAAGAAGCCTGAAACTACCATCCTGCTTCAGCTTTCTGACAGCCCTCTCCTTGAGGGACAAACTCAATGTTTAATATACTCAAAGATCCCTGCTTTTGGCTCTGCTCAGAATAGGTATGTAAACGCGTATACATATAAACACCTATACAGAGAGGGAGAGAGACACTTGGTTCATTTATTCCTAGAAGCAGCTATACAGTTTCATTCTGCAGATACCCAGAGACGTGCCAAAGTACAACGTAAGAAGGGTTGAAACTGTCACAGACTCTCAGGGACAGGTCCACAGTTCAAGAACCTGGAAGAACACTGTGCTGAAGCCCCAGTTTCAGCACCTTTTTCCTCATGCTGACAACGAAACATTGTTAACTTCAGGATTTAAAGAAATTCCATTTTCTGCCCAAAAGCATTTTAAAGTTGAAAACTGCTCAACTACTACAGCAGTGACACTCAAAGCAGCGCCTCATAGGTCCCTGCTTTACCTTCCTATAAGGCCTCTAGTGACTTGAGCTTAGTGCAAGAGGCTTTGTCTCCTTGCCAAAAAGTTCAGCTGCACTCTTCTAAAGAATGAAAATCAAAATTTAAACACACTCAGAGCCAAACCAGCATCACACTATTTTGTTATTATCTATGTTATTTCATACAACCGAAACCTTTCTGCTAAAGATAATTGGGTCCATATACACAGAATAGTCCTGCGGTCTTGCTCCATTTCTTACTGATATTTGGAAAAAAAAAATCTTAAATGGAAACCAGAAAGTGTTTAAAGTTAATGTAGTATTAGTAGTATACTCCCATGCTGTACCTCTGATGTTCAAGGCTTCAGACTTTTTCTCTTTTTTCTTCTCAGGCCCCTCTTCAGGGCTTTTTTGGTCATTTGGTGAATCACCTGCATTCAAAGAAGAAACGCTGTGTTGTGTATAAGTTCTACAAACAGAAAAAACATCATCCTTCTCAAAACCAACTTATTTCAAAGATGACAAGAAGAAAAAAAAAAAAACCAACCAAGGCAAAACATTTTCCATGCAGCTCTCTAAGCAATGCCTCCCTCCCCCATCCCGAGGGGAGCCCTGCAGCCTGGTGTAAAGTACAAGGTGAAAGAGGCGGTGGATGTCTGAGTGAGCTTAGTGACATTCCCCGGGGCCCACGGGTGGGTTTGAGGCTCCGAAAGGGCCCAGAGGACGGGTCTGGCAGCTCGGCGGGCCCCGAGGGCAAGGAGGAGGGAGACAGGGGATGAGGAGGGATGGGGAAGGGTGCGAGGGGCGGACAGGAGGGAAAGGCCGGACGGCGAGGCAAGGCGGCGAGGATGCAGCCGAAAGGCACCTGCTTCATCCGCCTCCCCCGTCGGGG